TTTTCTTTTAGTCTCACAGCAATATTAGTTTAAAACATTTTTTAAACCGTTCTGTTCCAGAAATTTGCTATTTTAAACAGTTACTCAATCAACCCAGGTGGGTGAAAAGAGAAAAGAATTTGATGATGAGGAATAATCAGTCTTTCTTCAGAAAAACTGTCTTTGCTCCTGTAGAGCTTCTATTTAAAATTAAATAGAGAGATATTTTATTTAGGTGGTAAATTAAACAGAAAATCTCTTTTTCCTGATAAATTTACTCTTATTTAGTGATTTTGCAATTAAACGTGTATTATCCTTCAAGCAAAATGAGTAAACTGTTCAACTCTGTGAATATTTGTAACTGTATCTGTTTTAAAAAGTTAATGTTTATTTTTGTACCTTATTTTTAAAGGATTAACAGTGAAATAAACTTTTTGGTGAATGCTTCTTTGCATAAATACCTATTACTTCTTAAAATGTAAGATAACAGTGTTTTATTCAGCTTTGAGGAAGTTTGTTAACTCAGAATTTGCCTTACAGAAAAATAAAAAGACGTTTAATTTCACTCTTTACCTAAAAAACGAAGTGAAATCTGTGATCTCACGTCTCGCCAGGAGATGTCAGTATTTCCTCAACAATTATAACTCCGTCACTTTTTGTGTTGTCCACTAGGGGTGCTATGACTTCCTGTGGCGTTCGGTTGACATCCTGTTGTTAGCCGCTTAGCTTGAAGTTAGCTTCGGCTAAACTCGGTCAAAATCAACATTTCTGAACGGATTTTTTACACAAAAGTGGCAAAAGTTTTTGCAATCAGACTTTATAGCTTGAACATGAGTGTTTGGGACTGATAGTAGCTTCATTTAGTGATTTTAAGCGTAGTTTTAAGCTCCGGTCGTTAGCTTGTTAGCTTAAAATTAGCATCGCTAGCTTTGTTTAAAAACATCGTTTTTTGGCGAATTTTAAACTCTAACGTAGCAAAATTTCAGCAAGCAGGCTTCGAAGCACTTGACCAGCGTGTCAAAACCACATTAAAGTTACTTTTCAGCTTTAAAAAGCAGATTTTATTTCCCTATGAAAATGAATTTCATATCCGGGTCACGTGACTGAAATCACCAATGGCAGCAGCGTAGGGTGAGAGGAAGTGACGTAGCCACGTCAGTCAAACCTTCAACCAATGAAAGCGCTACACAACAGTGAATTCAACCAATCAGGAAGCGTATTCTCCAGCTAGCAAGTTAGATTTAGCTTGAAATAGTTCGTCAACTTTTCGTCTTTTAAACCATCAAAATGCACTTTTTCTGCTAAAAATTGTAACGAAACAACTTCTAACTGTGTTCTGAGATGGCACTCAGCTTTTAAAACGTTTATCCATCTGTTCAAAATACTCGTTCAAACTGAACAGAACCGAACTGGTCACAGCCGGGTCTTAAAGCAGAACCTCGTACTTTTTAGACAGAATAACGTCTTCCACAGCTCATTAGCTCTTAGTTACACATAACAGACGTACCATTTCAGCTTACACAAGACTTATGACACAATTTCAGCTTTTAAAACATTGCCAGCCCAACGCTTAAACATGCAGCGTTTAGTTGCAGAGTGCAGCTCCAAGCGCGCAGCTCAGCCGCTGCGTAAACTTTACAGCTCATCAGCTGTTACTCTTTCACCATGCCAACACGTAAAATCAATTTACACACGGATTTAACAGTCATTCATGAAATTCGTACGAGCCACCAGTTTGTAGTGAGACACGTGAGGTACGTGTCACTTGTTGTATGACAAATATATGGATATATATTTATGCATACTTTTCACGAGTTCTTCATTTTTCTGACTGTAAATGTCGTGCATTGAATTTAACAGAAATGTGAACGAGAGACGTTATTTATCTTTGACCCATCAAATGAATGGAATCATTTATTTTCAGAATCAAGGTTTAACATCAAACATTTACATTAATTTGGCAAAATATGAAAATAATAACAGACAGTTTCACAGAAAATGAACTTCAAATCACTCGGCGGTGATTTGAGGACTTTGCTTAAGATATTTCTAAAATATCTGTACTGATTTATGAGAGAGAGGTGGGTTTTAGAGTGAAAGGAGATTATCTTACAGAGAACTGTGTGAGGGAAGTTTAATCTGTTTAACCAGAAATTGCACGCTCCGTCAGATCTCCAGCCCGTCCACGGTACACTTTAGTCGAAGAAGAAGCCTTTACCTGGTTTGACGATAGATCAGCTCAGTAAGCATCCTTCAGACTGTTTCCAGCGCCTCCGTTAAGCACAGCTAAAAATCCTCGGAGAGTCGTGCGTGGTTAGCTCAAAACAGACTTATAATCCCAAACGTCCCTGGTTCTTCATAACTCCAAACTCTTCATAACCGGCTGCACTCTCAATCTGCTCATTCTGTTGGACTATCGGACCTGTTGTCAGCTCTCATTCCAACATCTCTCAGAACTCTCATTCTCTTGGAATTCTGGAATCCATAATTCTCTATTCCTTCTCTTCTCTATGAACTGAGAAGTTGCCACATTTTATTTGGGTCGACTTCCTGTTCAATTTAGAGCTTTCTGATTCGTGGAAGGACCAGAAAGAGGAGTGGATTTGTGACGTAAGATGTTATCATAAGTCAAGGATTGTTTACAACATACAGAAAAGATTATTGCAGCAACAGCAGACTTCGTGGAGTCTCACACTTTGTAATCTTTTCAAATAGTAAAACATGACATTTTTCTCGGTAAACATTTTAGTTGACCGAAAACCAACCTTTAACATACTTACGACAGCTTGCTCATTTCAGACAGAAAATCAAGAAAGGCATATTCAGGTGATTTCTTCTCTGAATGAGGAACAAAAATCATTACTTACTGTTTATGTAAAATAAAAATTAGTAGTTCTTTTCAACCTGTAAAGCATTGAGTGAACTAACACAATTTGATTATCAAAACATTTGTAAGACAGTAATGATTATAGAGGATTGTCTTTTCTGCTTGATTAATTCAAGAAAGAAAGTTCATCAGATGGCCCAGACTTATTCAGATCAATGAAAATAACAGTCTCTGTCCATCTGGTAGATTTGAGGTCACCTGGTTCACTACACTAACTCCCAGGTTTGGAGCTTTATTTTGAAAATTATACTCTGAGTAACAAATTAAAAGTATGTAACGAGCATTTTAAGACGTTAAATCCAAAGTGTGTGGAAGTTTAAAGATAATAAGACGCCTACCTGTTTAACCAGAGCCCTCTTCTTCTCTTCACCCATCTCGTCTCGTCCTGCCAGGTCCCTCTCGTACTGGGCCTTCATGGCCTGCATGTTGACCTCCAGACGCAGCTTGGCGTCCTCTGTGGCCTGCAGCTCGTCCTCCAGCTCCTCCAGCTGAGTCTTCATCTCCTCCAGCTGCTGCTCCATCGAGCGTTTAGCCTTCTCCAGTTCGTGCACCTGCAGAGGGGAAGGAGGTCTCCGGTGAGAACCATCGAGAAGCGTAGGAACAAACGAAACACGCAAGATCGTTTCAAACTTACGTTCTTTCCAACGTCGTCCTTTGATGATACCAGGTCCTCCATTTCAGCCCGCAGCAGTTTGCTGCTGCGATCCAGTTCCTCCTTGACCTCCATCAACGAGTCCAGCTCACGGGTTAAAGCCAGTGCTCGAGTCTCCTTCTCGCGAGCTTCAGCTTCAGCTCGGTCACGCTCCTCGGCGTAACGAGCGGAGATGTTCTTCTCCTCTGCCAGCATCTACAACCAAGACAACGTTAAAACTCTGTAAAACTGAGGTCTGAATCGTTTGCGGCGTCGCTCTTCTCTGAAAGCGTACACCTACCTGGTCGAACTTCTTCTGCTTCTTCTCCAGGTTGGAGACGATCTGCCGGAGGTGGTCTTGGTCCACCAGCAGGTCATCCAGCTCTTGCTGGAGACGGTTCTTGGTTTTGTCCAGCTTGTCGAAAGCAGCACATTTCTCCTCCAGGCGCTGGGTTGTTGCCTCAAAGTCCCTCAGAAGTCTCTTCTTTCCTTCCTCAGCGGTCTCCAGACAGCCAGCGTCCTGCTCCAGCTTCTTCTTCATCTCAGCAAGCTGCATGAAGACAACATGCGCTGAATTCAGGCTCATTTGTTCAAGTGATATATCACGGGGAGTTAAGTCACTAATTTATTCCAGCGTTTGTTTTTCTGCTGGCTTCAATGAAAACTCCCGGAGGACTTGATTTCGGGTGCGTCGATGTGTTTTACCTGAGCTTGAGCTACTTGAAGCTGCTTCTCCACGCTCCTCTTGGCCGCCTCTTCTTCCTCCAGTTGTTCCTTCAGGTTGTTCTGTTCTTCTTCGAGCTGACGCATACGAGTGCCCTGAGACAGTTTCTGACGAGTCTCTTCTTGGAGCAGTTCCTGTTTGAGAGACGGACACAGAGTTTTAGAAAACCAAACAGGACTAGGACCGTTACAGTCGGTGTGGAGCCTCATGATGCTCCATGTTCAACAATTTCACATCAAGGCTGCACAAACCACTGATGTTTGATAGTGATCATTTGTCAACGTCATTATTCTGAGTGTTGATGGGGAAAGAGAGGTCTGGGGTTTTCTCATGGACCTGCTGACTCTGACCAGACTACAGGTAAGTAGTAAAGATGGAGGAGGAGACGACTTTTATGAATTTATCCTTTAAATTCTTGAAGGTTTCAACTGAGATATTGAGTTTTTCTCCACTCCACTGGTATGTGTTACAAATATCAACATCCTGTCAACTCCGAGCTAGTTTCAAACAGTCATGGTGGAAAAGCAGAGTCCGCGGCTGCCACAAGGCGCTTTCACGAAACGCATCAAGCTAGGACTCCCCTCCACATTTTAGATATAAACGCTGTGCTTCTCAATTTTGAGGGGGGAAATTATTATGAATCAACATTATTTAGGTCTAAGATGGCTACTCGTTCTTCTACTTTTTCCACAATTATGGGATGGACACAAATAGCTCTGTAGAATTTTAAACAAGATGTATATTTTAAGTTTTATTTCCCCTTTTGTCTTAATGTTTAAAAATAAAGTGAAACAAAATTTTACACTGCAACAGTAACTGTGTTTGTGTATAAATAAATAAAAACTGATCAGTTGTTTCACCTTATTTTAAAGGGTCACGTACATTTAGTGGCTCTATACAAACTTTATTTAGGGAGACATTGTGGATTTATTTTTCTAGAAAAGGTAAAGTTTCCGACTGAAACATTTAATCGACGTGTACAAACCGAATGGATTCTTGCACATTGTTCTAAAAGAACATTCTCTCAGTATAGTACATCAACTGGTGGCCCGGGGGCCGAATCAGGCCCACAAGTGAGCTCAGTTCGGTCCACCGATGGGTTTGTTTCAAATAAAACTAGATTTTAAACATTAAAACAAACTTACTATCTGACAATAACTGCTGGATGTGTGGCCCCTGAGCTCTATAAATTATTTCAGTACCTGTGGCCCCTGATCAGTTGAGTTGAATAGTCCTGATCTATAACATTTAACTCTCTACTTAACGTAGAGTAAAGTATGGCCGTCTTACCTGAACATCCTGAAGTTGGGATTCAACAGCAGAGCAGTCTTTTGATGCCTTGATGGATTTGCCCTCCACCTCCGTCAACATGCTGTTTACATTATCCAGCTCAGCCTGTGGACAAACAACAACAAATAAACATCTGCACAGTTTCATACGGCCATCTTCAGTGTTTGCATCAAATCAAGAGTGACCAGATAAAATACAAGATGTTCATTCTTCTTTTAGTGGAGGTCACTACAGTTAGGAATGTGAAACAATATAGCTCGTAAAAGTTGTACCTGCACTTTAGCTAGTTTCTCAGCCTGCTCCACCCTCTGGCGCTCGCTCTCTGAGAACTTGAGCTGCAGCTCCTGGACCTGAGCTTCAGCCTTCTTCCTGCGATGCTCTGAGTCTCCTTTACCCTGCATCAGCGTCTGCAGCTCGATGGTCAGCTCGTTCTTCTCAGACTCCAGAGCCTGCTTGGCCTTCTCCATGGACACTTTGTTCTGCAGGGAACAGGAGACGGGTCAGTTCGTGTTTCTGTGAACGTGTGATTATAAACAAATGTTTGTAGATGATGACATGTTCACCCTCTTCGCCTGCTCCAGCTGCTCGTTGAGCTCATCAAAGGCCTGACTGTGTTTCTGTCTCATCTCAACCAACTGCTGCTCATGGACTTTGGCTTCTTCGTCAAGAGTCTTCTTAAGATGTGCCACCTCGGTCTCACGCTTGGCTCTGTAAAGGAGAAGCAGAGGTGAGGGTCTGTCTGAAGATGTACAATCAATTCAAACAGTCTGAACAAAAGCCTGTTTCTGTTAAGTATTCCGACCTGAGTTCGTGTTGGACAGCAGTGGAGTCCAGGGTGTCCTCCAGCTCGGACTTGAGGGCCTCCAGCTCCTCTCCCAGGTCCTTGCGGTGCTTCTCGGCCTTGGTGCGAGCCTGCCTCTCCAGCTCCAAGTCCTCCTGCAGTTCAGACAGCTGAGCCTCCAGCTCTCGAATCTTCTTCTGAGCCAAGTTCTTCTGCGCAGCCTCCTCCTCAATCCTTAAAGAACAAACAAATTAAACAGAGTGAAGAACTGGCTCAATATAAATTTAAATCTTTTAAAATGTTTTTTTTTTTTTTCTCCAGGCTTAGGCAGACCTGATTAGAGCAGCCTGGAGCTCTTCTTCCTTCTTAGCTAGCTGAGCACGGAGCTCGGCGATCTGAGCCTGCAGCTCCGCGATCTGATCGTGAACCTCGGTGACGTCGCCCTCCAGCTTGCGCCGGTTCTTCTCCACCTCCTGACGCTGCTTCTCCTCCCGGCGCAGGCGGTCTGGAAGAAAATGTATACATTTTAGTTTTATCAGTTAAATTTGCAGCAATTTAACAAGTTATATATAGTAATGCAGTTATGTGCGTTTCTGCAAAGACAGAAGAGAATCTTTCCCCTCAATTACAAAAACCTTCATTTATTTATTTACAAAACATCTAACGAAGCTGAACCACCATAGATTAATTTTTTTTCTTAAATACACATTGTTTTATTTTTGAGAAGGCATTACAGGGAAAAGATTTTTGCCTGATAGATTTTAAATTTTTCTTTCATTTAAACAAATTTCTGACTCATTTTTAGGATTTCCTGCACAGGTCTGAGTGGGTTATGGTAAATTTGTTACGCATCAGTGTTTCCACTACCATTATAAAAGGAGGGTGCCCCGCCCTGTCAACAGAACCTAACTGTTCTCCCTCCCCCTCCACAACTGCCGGCCCTGACGTAGCGCTAAGCTAGCGGTCTAGCCACATGCAATACAGACGAGCTAGCTAAAAAGCTACAGAGGTAGAGCTCCGCTTTCCCAACGCTGAGCCGTCTATCCTGCCCCACTACCTCATAGATAAAACTCATGGAAGAGATGAACGCCCTGCCAAGGCCAGTAACCTAATGGAAACACTGTATATAGTCCATGTGTAAAAACTCACTGCAGCAACTTGTAGAGTTAATTTTAAAAATGGCTGCATGGTG